TTCTAGAGTTACTGCTCTGCACACTGCAGTCTGTTGAGGACAAGATTGCAAAGTACACTCGACTAGCAACGACATGCAGACTGTTTTCTTGTATTTACCCACAAATGTCAAAAAACGTTATGAAGTAAAAATGAATGAGTATTTTAAAAAAGAAAAAAAAAAAAACAAAACCACAACCAAAACAACCAAAAAAACAGCAAAAAAAAAAAAAAAACCCAAAAAACAAAAAACCCCCAAAACATGCCTCAAGTTATTGTCAAGCTTCCAACTTAAAGGCAGAGAAAGCGAAGTATGTACTCAAGGCTACTGATCTGAAGCACTATTAACACTAAAATCGGCAACCCGGGAGAAACGGCAGAGTTTCCTCCCGCCGGGCTGACGGCGCAGCCCGCCGCGCTCCCGCAGCACGTGCTTTTCCAGAGCTTTCTCTAGAGGGAGAAGCGAGGGCGGCTCCCACGGCCCTCTCCCTACGGGAAGTGTCAGGGATCTCGGAGGAGGCCTACTGCTGCCTCCCGAAGCCAGGTTTGCTTCTAACATGCCACAATGTTGCTTCTGCTTCCTTCGGACTTCTGGAGAGTGGGAAGCTGATCCCACCGGGGAACGGCTCTACGGGACTTGGTGAAGGGAGAAGCTATCGCGCTCGTCAACGAAAAAGGAACACGGGGCTAAATCCGGCAGGCCCTGCCCTGGCAAAGCCCCCCGCTGAGGGGGGGGGGGTCCTCGTTTTACCGAAGCGGCGGGCGGCACGGCACAGACCCGACGCCTCCAAGGCTCGTCCTGGCAAGGCTCGCTCGTGATGTGAAAGACAATGGGGTTTCTGGGTAAGCAAAGGTTGGGAAAAGCGGGGTCCCAAGGCTCCTCTTCGCTAAACGGACAAAAATAAAAAAAAAACCAAAAAAACCCCCCAACCAACCCATACAACCTTTTTATTTACAAGCTGAAAAACCCAGTTTGCAACTTTAATGAAAATTCCTTCATTCGGCAGAACCAGATGCATCGGCTGCCGAGATTGCTCCGTAGGCAAACCGGCGCGACCGCCCTACGCCACCTACTGTTCTTCCCGAACGCAAAGAACATTTCCAAGGTACAACGTCCCGTTGAATACCCTAGCATGAGGTAAGCAGTGTAAGGAAAAAGGAGTGCTTTTGAAAATGAAAATGAATTAAAATTGGTAGAAATCTTTGGCCTTTCTCTCAAGATGCGTTAAAGTGTCACGAAATCAAGAAACATGCTTCAAAATGCCATGTCATTCTGACTCTGGTAACTGTTACCTCCCTCCACCCAACCCAGAAAAAGAGGCACTTTTAGTGTTTCACAGAAGATCTCCAATCGTCTAGCAGACACGCTAAATAACCCTGCACAATTGTAGTCCCAGAATAAACCGAGTTTATCGACATTACAAAGAGTCTAAAAAAGCTTTTATGAGGACCTAGATATTCTCTTAACTACACTAAAAAGTCCACTGGTTGGGAATCTTTACATCAATTTAAAAACGCAGAAAAAGGGAAAGTAAAAATAGAAAGAGAGGAACTCTACAGAAACCTGGACCTAATTATGGAGAAATGAGAGACGGGGTTCTGAGATGGACGCACAGAAAGACAGCGAACTCAAGCGCAGTTCATTTCTTATCCCATCGTTAATTCTGAGCCCAGTTTGGTTTTGGTTTTTTTCCCCCCCTCTTCTTTTGATCCTCTGTTCGGCTATTTGCCCGCTAACGCGTCGAACTGGAAGAAACGGGAGCTGTGGTGTACGCGAAGGCCTGTGCGCACGTTTGCCTTGGCGCTCGGAAACCAGGCGCAACGCTCGCTCGGCCGGCGAGGGCGAGCACGCGCGTACGCCCGTAACGAAGTTCGGGTCTTTCCGCCCCTTGGCATAGCCAATTCAAAGGAACAATTTGGATACTCTACCTCACTATCGAATACGAGGTCTTTGCGCTACAAAACGATTAATAATTCATGTCGTGGTTCTTTTTTTTTTCTTTTTTTTTTTTTTTTGTTTTTTTTTTTTTTTTTTTTTTTTTTTTTTTTTTTTTTTTTTTTTTTTTCTTTTTTTTCTTTTTGCTTCACGTCATCACAGAACCTAGCACACCTTGCATGCATGCAGTTAACAGGGTATAAAACAAGAGGCGAGAAGAGGCGTGAGCAGGAGCAGCACTGTGGCATGCTAGTACAGGACAACAATTAAATATCTATGGGCCAGACGCTTCGCCGGGGGACGCTGGCACCGTTCCACTACAGCGGGGCACTGCTGAGCGACACGAGGTTGGGGGGGCCTCAGCCTGTGTGTCCAGAGCCCTCGAGCCAACGCACCCGACGTTCCTGCTAGACTGTGCTTCAGGCACCCCAAAACCCTGGCCCTGTGACACCGAAGCTCCGTTTCATCTATTTCTGAACACGTGATGCTCTGCTTAAGCAACCAGAACTACAACTGATGACTGAGGAGGAGGAGGAGAAGGGCAATACCCCACAACACGGCCGCGTGAAGTTCTGCAGCTGGGTCACGGAATTCCACCACAACTGTCTGGATTGGCTGAAAGATCCAATAACTTTGAGGAAAATGAATAAACTGTCCATATTAAAATACAAAAGTACTATCAAGAATCACTTCTGACTTTCAGGCTTAAATTCAGTGCAATTGACAAATGCATTGCTAAACGAAAAATGCAGCTTAAACGTACTCAAAACATTTGTGTCTATTCCTGGGAGCACAGTTTAAAATTATTGCACAGAATTTTTTTTTTTTTTTAATTTTTGTTTTGTTTTTTTTTTTTTTGTTTTTTTTTTTTTTTCCCATTAAATGACAGAGGTCAGCCACAGTCATGGACCTCCAGCAATAAAAGCAATATTTCAAGTGCCAGACACTCCATATATTAGGTTTCCTACGTACTGTAACTCACAGGGCGATCGCTCTGAACATTTGTAATATCTTCCAAAATCCCAAAAAGAGCTGGCACCGAACCACCGCGGTTGACTGCCTTGATGGGTAATGACTTTTTGTGGGTTTTAAACGCTGCGTGTGATAGCATCATAATCTTGGGGTACGTGTAAAGAACGCGCTGTTGACTTCTCTTTACCACTGGCAAATTGCTACCCTACCTTAGCCAAACTCAGACTTGCTTCAAGTCGTGTTTATTCCACGGAAATAGCAGAAATCAATGCCTGAAGAACAACGGTTAAAATGTCAAAGCTGCATTATCTCAATTAAATCAATTTATACCTGACTCGGAGGGGGAAAAAAAAACCCAACCCAAACCAAAAAACAAACAAAATAAAAGGTTGGAGATTAGCAATCAAAAGCCACAAAGTTATTTGTGGTTGAAATAGTGTTATAAAACTGATAACTTTGCCAAGCTCGGTAATATAAACCATTCCTTAAGTAAAATGCCTGTGACATAAATTTGACAACCTCTCTTCTTATAAATTTACACTCTTGGAATCTTACGCAAGACGTGATGCAACCTTTTCGACGACACATACGCGTAAACATAACCTCATGCTATCATTTACAAATCAAATCCACTGCCAGGATACTTTTAATCACATGAGCAGAAAAAGGTTTGCCATATACATCTGTCATCGTAAGAAAAATACTTGATATTGTAAACAGAGTAAAAGACACTATATAGTAGTGATTATTAAAAAAATAGCAGCTTACATCTACCCTATATTTGAAAAAAATGTAGTCACAAGATACAATAAACTGCAGGACTGGAGCAGCAGGGGAATTAGTGCAAGTATTCATCTTTTAAATAAGCTGAATCACTGCTATTAAAATAAACTTGAAGCAAGTCCTCTGTTGAAGATTATTATTTTTTTTTTTTTTAAATCTAAGGTAGTAAACATTTTGCCTCTTAATGGCAGTGTTATCAAATATATGCCAAAGATTTTATTTTTAAGAAAGAAAAATTACATGAGATACTTTTAATACTGGAGTTTGGTTACAATTCTACATCTAAGCTCCTACAAATAACGATGGGCAACGCTCAGAGAAGCTGTGGCATGAACCCTTGTCTGGAAAGATCTGAAACCCCTTCCAAGCGATCCCCCAGCTGTACTTTGCTCCTTTCCACAATAGTGCACGATTTAACCATATTTTTGTTATGGTCTTAAAGCAACAGAAGATGCATTTTCTTCTTCCTCTTTTTTTGTCCTTTTTTTTTTTTTTTTTTTCTTTTGGGCATCCCTGTATTTTTCTCTTCTGTATTTTTGTGCCCTTCTGTTCTTAAGTTTGGCAGAATTATGTCCCAAATAAGAAACTACTGCATTTTAGCCACGTCACCAGAAAATAAAACATAGCATTATACCCATTACTGTCGGACTTCGCAGATGCGCAGGACGTGAAATATCATGCCTCGAAGAAGGAATTTTTTTTTTTTTTTTTCTTCTCTCTCCATAAATCCCTTTTCCACCCTCCCTCTGTTCACAAAACTGTGCTCTGGGAGCCGCAAAATGTACCAAACATTATCAGGTTCAATCTACCTCTTCAAAGAATGCATTGAAATACGCTTCAAAGAAACATTTTTTTTTTTTTTTCCCCCCAAGGTGAAAAAAGAAAAAAAACCAACCCATAAACAAGAAACTAATTCACTCCCTTACTTCATGCATCCGTAAACTTAACCAAAACAAAACAGAAAACCCAATGTTTTAAAAGCAAAGGAAAAACTACTGCTGCAGATTCCTGTAAGTCCATTTTCTCTGTACACGCAAACTGCTCAACTACTGAGAAGGAAAACAAAAATACCCCGCGATCCACGGTCGCAATGGATTCGCAGGGGGGAAGGGGCAATGAAGGCTGCCGTTAGGATCTTCTGAATTTGGTATGTATATGGGTCTGCTCTTGTACACGGAATATTTCTCTCTCTCTCTCTCTCTCTCTCTCTCTCTTGCTCTCTCTTCTGTTTTTCATATCCAAAACCTTTAAATGTTATTTTGGGGCACAGCAGATTCCAGCACTTGGTGAACAGGATTCACAAGCTGTGACAAAACTCTGTCATCCTCTTCAGGGTGTAATTTTTTTTTTTTTTTTTCCCCTCTTTTTTTATATACAGTATATGTATATATTTCTTTTACGTTTGGCTGTAGTGGACTGGCCATGGTTCAATTGGGACTATAGCAGTACATGGGTCAGGGACAGTCATTTTGGCTATGTACACATTCATAGTCGGTCCATGGCTTCCAACTAGTAGCGCTATTTCCGTAGGTCTAATACACAAACCTGTAAGAAAAAAGAAATATATTTACAGAAACTGCACATTGCCCCGCGTCCCACATTCGTACCATTCCGCGTGAAATGCCCGAGCAAAACCTTCAAAGCAGATTCTGGTTTTGTCAGATAAAGACATCTACCAGTGAAATATAATTGTATAAAAGCTGTGCTTTTAGTCACCGAACAGTTCCAACGGTTGCGTAGTTGCTATGAGCTGTAAGTACATTCAAAACTGAGGGGACGAGGAGGGCTTTCGCTAGCAAACAATGTAAAACAAAATAAACCCAACGCTTTTAAAAGAGCAAAAACTACACGAAAACCAATCTGTCGCGAGTACCGCCAGCCTCTTGGGTCAAATGAACTGGAAGAGTGGAGAGGTTCCACGGCAGCTATATAAAAGGGTCCTCTAGGGTGGAACAGTTAATTAATTTCCACACAGGATATGCCTTGAATTTTCTTCCTTTCATGACATCATCTATACTTCCAAGACTAAAATGATATGCAAGACCAATTTAGTCTACTTAAAATTCAGAACTTTCTATTTTCTGTTTGGAACTCTACCAAAGGGACCTCCCTTACCAGCATGGAGCATGCGGGACAGGAGAACGCTTTGGCGTTAAGGTACCGCCCCAGAGTCCAGGCTACAAAGCTACCAGGGCTGCTTTTCAAAATACAATCCTTTTATTACTCTTACTTTATTCCAATTTTGCTTTTCCTTAGGCTCTCCTCTCCTTTCTCTCAAACCCACGGCAAAAGAGAGGCAAGCAAATAACAGCTACTGCCCTTGTCAGGGAGAATGGCACGTTAATATTTTCTGGCAGCACGATGTCAGGAGACCTAGGGGACGATTCCAGAACACACCACTATGAGATGGCAGAGGGTGCATTCATGATTAACCACACAATTTTATTCTCTGCTGCTTCTAAGCAATGGAAGCGGACTGGTATTTACATATAGCTCCTGTCAATGTTTAGGAAGTTTAATTATGAGCCTTCAGAAATCTGGACTTTGTTGTGCTGCTCCTCCTGTTGGAACGCAGCGCAGACGATATTTCATTCCTCTCATGCGTTGCGATGACATCACCTACACCAAACATTTTCACTCAAAAAGGGCAAAGAGGCAAACCCAAACTTGTTTCCAGACTATAATGGAAAGCCCAGCCACAATGAACACATTTCCACGGCAAGCCCCAGCAGGGACAGAAAATTTAATCTAAAGGCATCTTCACCTTCTGAGATTTTGGGAGGGTTTAGAACAGTAACGCATTAAGCGGGAATCAAGCCGCGTTCTCCTTTCAACATCACAGCACCCTTCTGTGCGACAATCTGCAGGTGAGCTGGCTGTATTGAACTACAGCTACAGAAGGAACCTGTCTGCGTTGTCATTCAGAAGATTTCCAGAAGGTGGCTGTTGTCAGAACATCAAACAAGTCAAGGCACACTTACTGAACCATCTGAAGCACTTGCTCCAACTTTGTCTCCTGCTGCATTCCAGCAAACCTCAAAAATCCCTCCTGTTCCCCGATAACTGTGAACTAGGGCACCTGTCTAAAAAGGGACAAAACACATGATCAGTGTAACAAAATCCAAACGAACAAGTAAAATTTGTGCAGCATTTAAAACTCCCCCACTGCTTGCAAAAGCTGAAATCCCCCGAGAAAACGCTCCAGGTGAGACTCGTGGACAACCTCGGCACTGTCCTGAAGGACGTGGCCAACCCAGCTATGGCACCTTGACCTCGTGCGTTTGACAGGCAAAACTGGGGACGGTCGCGACTACTTCCAATCGCTAAAAGCAGCCTTTCAAAAATTAGGATCCAATTCCCGGTAGCCAGAGATCACATCTCGCCTAACAACAAGGTCTGTAGCCGTCCATTCGCTCTCAGCCCTTTTTTTGCCAGAAACACAAAACCAGAATCAGTGCCCTTTCTTCAAAAGTTCTGTAGAAACACTGTCGCCATCTCACACTCATCTTCTCTCATTCTACATTCCCTTGTTTTTCAGTGAAATCCAATGCAATAGCGACCAGATTTGTGTATCTACATCCAGTCATCATTTTTCACAGCAAACCGGTTTTATCTGGAGCTTAAAGTTCAGAGGTAGCAAAGACAATTTTTGGATGCACCATGTTACTGGAGACACTTTGCAGAATACATTTTGTTGTTGGTTTTTTTTTTGGTTGGGTTTTTTTGGTGGGGTTTTTTTTTTTGCTCAGTAAAGACAACGTAAAGACAATTATTACTTCACCATAGACAAGCACTCAAAGAGAGAAATTAAATATAGAATCATAGAATCACTTTGGTTGGAAAAGCCCTTTGAGATCATCGAGTCCAACCTTTAACCTAACCCTGCCATCCATTATCAGACGTAACCTTAGAACAAAGAGAAAGAAAGTGGATCGAGATGTCAGCAAGGGCAAAGCTCTTTGTGGCCGAAGCACGATGGAGCAACAAAGGCTGGAAGGGTGCTGATGGAAAAGACCAAACCCCAAACTTCCAAACAGACAGAAGAGCTCTACCTGCGTATTCCAGATGTGTACACATTTATCAAAGGAGCCGCTGGCCAGGTACCTGCCATCAGGACTGAAAGCTACACTGTACACAGGTTCTTGATGCTTTGTCAGAGTATGAATACAAATTCCTCGGTCTACGTCCCATAACCTAACAGTAGAGTCAAAGGATGCACTGTCAAGGGAAAAAAACGCAGATTAATTACATCTCAATTTGATGTATTTTTGTTTCTAACATAAACACAAGATGCTAAAGCACGCCACGTGCTGCAAAACGTTCTGCGAACCTACGTATATAAAAAGCGATGCAAAAATAACGCTTTTAAAAAATGCACTTTAAAACAGGATTAAATAGTACCTTGCTAACATAAGATTGGCATTTGGATTATTTGTTCCTGGTCCTGTAGGACTCCATTTGATAGTATAAATTTCTTTGTTGTGTGCTTGTAAGTCATGGACACAACTGTCTTGTTTCATACTCCAGATCTAGGACACAAACAGAAGAAAACACAAAGACGTTTCGCACAATATCGTACTAAAATACATTTTACATCCTCCGCCTTTACCCTTTGCAGCCTGACTGCCACCTTTTAGGCCACATTTGCTACGACTACTGAGGTTGCTAGAGTTATGACGACAAATATTATTCCAGTACCCTCCATTCTTGGAGTTGTAAGGACCCGATGGGGTTAATGAGGAATAAAGGTGCCCGTCTACAGAAACCACCCTGCACGTGCTAACTGCGAGCCCCTTGAAGAGTGCCGGGAAGATAACAGATGCTAAAATGAGAAGAGCAACGTGTGTGTGTTCACGTCTGCGTTGACAAAGTATCGCAGCCCTATTTTTAAATGAACTTCTTGCTACACAGACTGAGTGAAATCAAGGGAGAGTAGCGAAATTCTCTGTTTTCATACAAAGCCATAGGCGCATACTGCAAAAACGTTACGGCACTTCCCCGGCTTATCAGGAGTTGCCTTGCCAGGTGTTTGCTCAGTACTTCCCACAGAGGAGGAGCTCCTTAGGACTCTGACTCCTGCATGATAACCTTCAACAAACAAAATAACTATTGTACTCGTAATAACTATTTTATAACTCGTAATTCTATTACGAGTTTGCATTGCGTACAGCGGGGCTTTGGAAGGCTTTTATACCTTTTCCTAAATGAGAAACTCGATAGAGTAGTTAATCATCCGAATGCTTGCTTTGATGGTATCTGGCTTAGTGGTGCTTCCAGCTCACCTCTTGTTCGAAAAAGCCAACAGGAGCATGCTTAAGCTCAACTGTATTTAAGATGCAGTTGGGGTCTATGTTTAAATGAATGATGCTTTCCAGAACTGGTGCCTCACTGAAAGGGAAATTGATTTTCAATGTGCAGACAGAATTAAAATTGTATTTCCAGTTTAAATCGATGGGATCAAAATCTAGCTTTTCTTCCCAAAACGAGTATAGATGAAAAGAGTCCATATTAGTTGCCCTCAAGAACATCAAGTTGGCGTCACAAGAAAGAAAAAAAAATCAATCAATCAATCACTAGGCACCTTCCACGTGCTTCAAAACCTTCATTCCTACTGCCACTGAAACGCAGGTGATCCACAAGCGATTAGTGGTGCGTAGACTTATCCACAAGCAACTGGTCTTCCAGTGAATCCTGAACAAAGTGATAAAATTCTTCCCAGGCTGGACTGAATTCAGAACAGCGACCAAGAAGTGAGTTGCCTGAGCCAACAAACGGTGACCTGTTCCCAGTTGTCACCTCTCTACTCCCCAAGATGCAGCAGCAACAGCTTGAGCTCTAGACCGGAATTCATCTCACCTGAGTTTCAGCTGCCTGAGGATGAAATATCTGGCTTAAGTTGGCTCTTCTGCCTCCATCCATTGCCGATGGAGAACAACTGATGCTCTCAGGGGTTTACTCATCACACTTGACTTAGACACTTAACGTCGGAAAGGATGAATTGCTCTTCAGTGGTGCCAGACACTCTGTTGACTAAAGATGTCTAGACATCTAGCTCTAGACTGGAGATTTAAAGCTTAAACGTTGATATTTAGATAAGGGGATCTCCACTGCAAGCGCCTGACTGCGTGCCAGCACAGGAGGGGATATCTGGCTGCTCACTCAGCCATTCCCTGTCTCGGATTAAACAGTGGTGAGCTGGATGGAAATGACTGTCCCAAGGGCTAGGAGGTATTTTTGTGCGGGGCTCTAGTGCGCCTTGAAGTCACACGATAAGTTATAGTATCCCCTGCATTCACAAGTTTGCCCCAGTTCTACAAGAAAGCATGTTGCTCTGAATTATTTGGGGGAAAAGTGTAGGTGCAGTTGAAAACTACAGAATGACTCCCGATGAATTGGAAAAACCAAGGAGTAGACACAGCCTCTTAAGAAAGAAATACGCCAAAGGTTTTAACTAGAAAGAAAGGGAAAACAGAAGAAATCCAGGGAGGGAGGCAGTCGCCCACTCCCGTACGCACTACACGACATGCATTCCAACTCCTCCTGTTAACCAAAAGCAACCATCAAGTGTGACAGCTTAATGATTAATGACCCGATTCTGTAAACAGCTAAAAGCACCTAATAAATCACGCTCCAAGTCGCAGCGTGGCAGCCTGTAACAAGTTCTCTGGACCAAAGCTTGGCTCTGATTAATAAGGATTTGCTAGGATTGCCTAATCTCGTTACATTAAAAAAGAACAAATATTAAACGACACGGCCAGTAGAGCGATACTGCCGGATAGCCCGAGCCAACGGTGTGCGTTCCGGAGGCCCCCAGGGACAGGAGCCAGCACCACAACTCCCGTTACCTTCAGAGTCATATCATCAGAGCAGGACGCCAGAAGATTACCAGTCGGATCCCATTTGATTGCGTTTACTTCATTCTAAAATTGAACAGGGAGAGTGAGTTGGAGTCTTCGCTTCCATTACAAATGACAGCTTACGGAAGATAAAGTTGGACAGCAGTCGTGAGTATTCGTATAATTGTCAGTATTTCAGCATTTCATTTTCATTCCTAGCTTTGCCTTCAATAGCAACACCTTTCTGCTGCCTGTTCTTCAGATTTTCCCACGCGTGCTCTTACACAACACAGGCTGTGCACAGCAAAGCCTTGAAGTTCCCACGTTTCTTCTTCTAAAGCTCCCTTTTGCTCCACCACCCTGGCACCGGTAAAAGAAAGCTGCGCAGGGGAGCAAAAATTGTTCTAATAACGGCCGCGACTGCGGTTACCGTATGACCTGAACTACAACTCCCTGCGCAGGGACCTCTGTCGCCCGTTGCCAACGACCAACCACCGGTCAAGCGCCGCATACTGGGCCCCCAAATCTCTCGGTAATAAAAATCCCGCAGAGCAACGCCCAATTCTCCAGTACTTACTGTGTGACCCTGGAAGGTTTTGATGGGCCTGTCTTGTCCTAGTTTGCAGACATGAATACACATGTCTGTGCTGCAAGAGGCAAACGTGTTGTTACTCTGCCAATCAACATCTAATGCTGGTGCTAAAAGAGAAAGAAAGATATTTAAAACTACGGCTTGTGTTCCGCAGGAGCTTGATTTGCAAATTCAGCATGCGTCACCTCAGAACAGATGCCAACAGGAAGCAACCATTAATCTTACAGCCGTTCTAAAGATAATCAAACACCACAAACAGGAAGAAACGCAGCCAAAACCGGTCTTACACAAAGAAATGAAACAAAATTTAACAGAAGGCATTTAAACACGGACCAGATCTGAAATGAAATAGTTATACAGAAGAGAGCGCAGCAGGACACCAAGCTGTGGTTAAGTCATCTATAAATAAATCTCCAGAGTCGGCACGAGGAACAGGTTCCCACGACTTAACGCATCGTCACGCAGGAGCGCGTCCCCGCTAACCGTCCCTGCTTGCGCTGACAGACGGCAGCCAGCGGAAGGTAACGACGGATTTCCTTTCTTTAATTCCAGCATTAGAAGGTGTGGTAACTGGAAGCTTCATCACGGGCGACATGTTCCATTTGATCAAGCCCAGAGATTTACGGCAGATAGCACGCAGAATTGTTCGGAGTAAATCAAGAATTGATGGGTTTGATCGTTGTCCTGCCGTAGCGCGAGTGGAATAAGAAGTGGAAGGGAGGCGCATTCCTTCACGGCCCTTCAATGACACCTTCGTCATCCTCTCCGTTCTGCTTTCCAGCTGATTCTGGCGGGCTTGCACGGCACGCAGCCCGCAGAGCAATCTGTCTGACCTCCCGAGAGGCTGCACTCGCATCCCAGCTGGCCAGGGAAGGGCCCCTCAGCTGGTCTGTGGGCAGACAGACTGGGGACGGCACAGCAGGCAGGGCAGGACACTGGGATGCGGAGCTGGGATTACTGGAGCAGGAAGATGAGAAACGCAGCCCTGGGCTGATAAACACAAACCCTTCGTGGCCCACCCACTTGATCTGTCTGACCCCACACTACGGAAAGTCGGCAGTATTGGGGTTATCTCTTACCACTTTCATAGAACTGCAATAAAACTGTGAGTTACGAAGTTATAAAATCAGAACAATTCTATCGTCGTTTACACACTCAGAATTAATAAGACTACACATATGGGAGTCCGTACCCAAAAGACTACCTGAGGGCTCTAGAATGGTGTAAATAAGCACCCTAAACTTCAGATTGTTTTCTTTATTTTAATAAAGAACACTTTTTTCCTCTTTTCAGATGACAAACCTGAATGATCAAAATCCAGACTTACCAGAATGAAAAGGAAACTGCTGCTTGGCTTCGCCAGTGTGGGCATCCCAAATAATCGTGGTCTGTATCGAACAGATAAACAAGCAATAAACAAACTTGCACGAATTGCTGATTTCCCCACCACTACCACCACTCACACGTATCAGACCACCTAAGCCTGCCTCCCCACTGCCCAGACCTGCTCCCAGTCATACACTTCTAGTGTTTTACCCAGTGCTAAAGGGAACGGCAGCAGATGCACAGACAGCAGGAGGAAACCTTAATACGTTGCCATATCAGAAAGGCATTTTAACCACAACGTTTTGGGGGCTGAGGGGAAAAAAGGGGATTGTGGGCTTTTTTTTTTTTTTTTTTTTTTTTTTAAACAAACAAAACCTAAATAGATTTATCTCCTCAGTCCTATTTATGTTTTTGTAATCCACTCCACACACCTATTTTAATTTCAAATATTTGTATAGTCAAATTGTGACTTCAAATGCTCATTTGTCCCTATGGAGATCTTATATAAACAGTCTCATACTTAACAATCTGAAAGATTTGATTTAAGGGTGTAATTTTGTTCTGAGTTGTTCTCTCGCAATACTACTGATCTCTTTCTGATGAAAGCAGCCTTCCATGCCAAAATCAGCATTTTAAAGTCACTGTATTCTATGCCAATATTCCTGACCCACCTCAACGATCAGTGACAATTTTGACAGCGAATTCAGCGGAAGCACGAACTGACCACACACATTATTTATGGAAATAAATAAATAAGGTTGGGTCAGTCTTTCTGCTCATGGAGAATATTTTTTCAAAGCGTGATCTCAGATGCTTTGTCCAAGGAGTTTTATTGACTGAAACGAGGCTTCCATCTCCTCCAGAGTATTTTTCTGCAAATCAAAGCTGTGCCTCCACAAAGATTTAAAAGCTGGCATAAGCCACCACAGCTGCCAGAAGAACCCCATCCTTTCCACGCTTTGAGACATTTACTTGTCCTTCCTTCGTGCCAGCACAAGCATTTAGAAAGCTGGGCACTAAAGCAAACCAGGTCGAATGCGTGCAGGACAAAAAAAATCAATAAATAAAGGGGAAAATCTACTATTTTTGTCTGACACTGCCAGTTTTAAGTGTTGTGGGCCTGTGGTCTTCCTGAGCTTGCAGTTTGCCCGTCTCATGAAGAGAAAGCCTCGATTTACTTCTGCACCTTGAATCAGTTACAGAGGAAAAGCTAAGCTCTTTGAATAGCCTGTTCTAGTCTTTGAATTTGGCTGAAGCCTATCCTGCACCGCCGTGGGCCCTTCCTGCCATTCGTAACATCCCTCACGCTAACAACACCTTTGAATTTAAAGACCTTGTGAGTCTTTAAGCTTGTTTAGAGACGTGAAATAAAACACAGTTAAACAACGAGCTCCGTGGCATTACACTCCTGGCACCTCCCCAGTCAGATATATTGACTTTTATGTCCCAGCTCTAACCTTTTTCATCATTCTCAGGCTTGACTGATAGCCAAAGCAGCTTCAGCCTATTCCTCCAGTACGATTTATTTTTTTTTCCTGAGCCTTTGCATGAAGTGATTCATTAAATTTTAGATTATTTGGTTTTACAGAGGTTTAATGTTCCCGCATTCGATGCACTTATTTCCAACTTACGCTAACCTGATTGGGAAGAGATCCAGGGACACCAAAATCTAATGAATTAAACTATCTCAATAAACTACTATAGAACACAAGCTAGCACAACAAGCTCTTTGCAAGCACATATTTACGTCCCATGCCTTTAGTTTCATCTCCTTACTCTCTATAGCTTTGCTATTATGCTTACAATTAGATTATAACGGTGAAGGAAAGAATTTTAATTTTACCAAAGATTCTCTCACCTTGTCCACTCCTGCACTTAAAATGAAGTTTCCTTTCTTGTTCCATTTTAACGCAAATATAGGACCTTTATGTTGCCCTAAGGTGCTGGCAAGATTACCTGAAAATTTATATTGATATGAATACATTAAAAAAAAATTAAAAAAAAAAACTATGCTGTGAGCCACAATACAGGAAAAGATACTGGAAATTAAAAGTATTTCACTTACCATCTTTAGTCCATATCCTTGCAAAGCCGTCGTAAGACCCAGTTGCCAGAAGTGTACCTTCACTCTGCCAGGAAAAAGGGTGTTTTATTATTTTTACCGCATAAGGCAAAGCTAAAGAGCACAAAGCAGATGTCCAGTAGCGTACACCTGCCTAAGATTTAGGATGTTTCTTCCATTGACTAAAACTTATTAAAAAGAAGTCCCCGAAGAACAAGACAAGAAAATACAACGCACCTCCAACCCAGAACTATTTCAGGAGCCGTAGCTGAGGACGCTCAGTTGCTGTCACTTAAAGCTGGACCGTGCAAAACCATGGGTAGAATTTTCTCGGGGTGTTTTCAGCACTACTTACGTTCCAATCCAGCGATGTCACGTCTTTGTTGCTGGGTACGTCCTGCCCTCCTTCTCGTATGCAGTGCCGAAGTACCAGCTGCGTAGAGCCGCTCGTGCTGTTTTCACTGAGGTTCCATATCCGTGCTGTCGAATCTCCAGATCTACAGAAGAGTTAACAAGGCTATAACTCCCGCTATAACTCCTGCTCCCAATTAATTCCGTTTAAAAAAGTATTCCTTTCAAAACAGCAAAGGCTGTGGCATTTGATGGAGAGGGCGCCGGGGCAGGTATTGTTTTGAGGCGTCACCACCAGGGTACAGAAGTACGCCCGGGAGCGCTGGAATCGCGTACACGGGTGGTGGTGGGGGGGGGCACGCACATACCCTGAGGCCAGAAGGTCACTAACGGGATTCCAGGCACAGATGAAGACTTCAGACTCGTGGCCACGCAGCACCACTGCCTTGTTGGGAGGGATCTCAACATCTCCATCGACTTCCATCATATCTGTGTGATTATCTGCATTATGGGAAACAACAGTAGAGAGAGGTGGATTTTAATATTTTGGGACAATGGTTCCGTAGGGTTCATCCATATGGTTCCCTGGGCTGCCCAGGGAAGGGGTCGAGTCCCCAGCCCTGGGGGGATTTAACAGCCGGGCAGAGGCGGTGCTGAGGGCCAGGGTTTGGGGGTGGGATGGCAGGGGTAGGGGAACAGTTGGGCTTGGGGATCTTTAAGGGCTTTTCCAACCTCAACGATTCTGTGATTCTATGATCTTCTTTGGGGATGAGCAAAACAATTAATTCACAATTTACGTGGACCAAAATTTGACAAAGCTGTAATGTTCCTTTATTTTTCCAGTTCCAATTTATGAAGTTCTATAAACAGATGGGGAGTTTCAAAGACGCGAGAAAGCTCTTAGCCCTTCTAAACCTCAGCATCCAAATGGATTTCATTTTGAAACTTCAAAATTGAGGCCAAAAGTTAATTTTTTGCCATGTTAAAAAATAAATGCTAAAATTACTCACAGTTTTTTAGGCACGATACCGCATGGGACAATATGTTACTCGTCTATCTTGTGCTTTAAAAATACAACCGTGACACGTGTGTTTTCAAAAAAATCTCTCTTTTCACCAACTGCAGTCAAACAGGTTTTAAATCTACATCTCAGACGCTTCATTTCCAAAAGGGCTTTAATTAATACAATAACATTTGGTGGCACGGTAAACTGGTAACAGAGCTTTTGAGACTGCTTCGGCAATTACCCTGGAACTGTGGCAATACAGAGCTTGCTGCGCGGAAGCGGCGTGGAATCCATACTGTTCTGTAAAGCACACCGGGGGTAATTCAGCTGACAAACCCCTTCTCTCGGCAGCTACCATCAATCATCTTCTATTATTAAAAATAAATTCACGCTGAGTGTAAACGCAGAACGTACAAAATGCAGAACATAGGAAATGCTCTGTATTTATTCACCGTGGTTAAACAAACCGTTTCACACCTATGGCTTAATTTAACATTACGGGTTTCTGTCGCTGTTCGTACATGTGAGAAAACAGAAAAGGCTCTTAGGACACAGATATTTTTAAGAGCAAGCACTGTATAAAAGGATGCTGCAATTAAAGGGCCTCAGCGCCAGCATCATTTGGCGCACCGGCCAGCAGGGGTTGCTGGTATATCACATTTAACAGTGGCTGAGACCTCAAGATTAGGCTTACTCTACCCAGTTCACAGTTAAAAACTAAGTATTCTTTGAGATTTTTAAACGAATGCATCAAAGCAGAGAGCTTACTTTTTTAAGACAAAGATTATATTTCCAATTTATTTATTATATATAATAATGGGAAAAAAAAAAATCAGTAAAACCCAGCTGTAAAATGCAAAACTTGTACACAACTCAACACGAATATTCTCTCAAAATATTCTGTCTTTTCTTCAGGTGCTTTGACAGCAGGAGCTGTAACTCCCCCTCTCAAAGGCGCAAGTCAGACTTCCAGAACAATATTTACAAAATCACATTTTAATGCCTGACCTGAACTTTTCTATGCTAAGCCTGACGGGAAGGTCAGCTCCTCTGACCAGCGATGACAAAAACTCACTGGTTTCCTCAATCACAGCTAAAACGGAACTGATGAATAAACCAAACCTGCAAGCAGCTGCATCAAATAATTCTGAATAGTGACTCGTGAAAATACTGATAAAGGAGACAAATGGCACAGGATTTGTGTCAGCAACCACGATGATCTCGGCATGCCGGGGAGTCTGCCCGACAGCGAGCTGCTTGCAGCTCCCCGATTCAGGGTTAGCAGAACATGGCCAAAGTTGTTTGTGGAGCTTCACAAGCAAGGCTCAGGTTTTAACCAGCTGCAGATTAGCAGACTCCTCTCCTTGTTACTTCTACAGCGGCCAAAGCTGAGGAGATGCAATATTTAGAGTCGTCTCTGACTTTTTTTTTCCCCCCCTCTTTATGCAAGAGCTTTCAGAGGGTCCTGCAAAAAACCTTCAGATGATGGGAAAGGAGCAGTACTGGAAGTGAGACCCGTCAACGGAATATTATGAATTAATATCACAGAATCATTTAGGTTGGCAAAGCCCTT